GCGAAGGTGGCGAAGCAGAAAACGAGTATGGTGAAGCAGAAAATGAGGATGGCGAAGCCGTTGCAGCCGCGCGCGGAGGAGAAGGCGGCGTCGCAGCAAGAGGCGGAGGAGGCTTCGCGCCGCGAGCAGCACTTGCGGGCGCTCGGCGGGGCTTCGGGCGCGGAGCGCGCGCTGGAGGAGCTGGTGTTCGGTGACAGCCTGGCAGCCGAGGAGGACGAGCTGCTGCGGCGTCTCGCGGGGCCCGCTCCGGTAGGCCGGGGATGGAGTGTGGGAGGAAAACCCTATCATCGCCCTCATTTCCCTTTTTTTCCCATGTGGAAAAACCCGACGGTCTTTTCTGGTGGGATAACGTGGCTTGTTTGGTTGTTCTCAGCCTCACAGTACTGACGGGGGAAGCTTTCTGAGGGATTCTAGTGACTCGGAAGTGGAGAATGAAGCAAAGGATGATTTCCTGCCACCCAAGAAACCTGCCTGGGTGGACGATGAGGATGAAGCTGAGGAAATGTAAGCTGGAGATCATATACAGGAGCTAAGGATGATGCCTGAAAGAACCAGTGTAAAAGGCTTGAGTTCATCGTCCATTTTTTTTCCCTAGGATTGATATGACCCACAGATATAAGAGAGATATGATGAAAGGTGATGCTGAGAAGATACTTAGTAAGGAAAAACTTAAGCGAAGACTTCAAGAGGAGTGAGTTTCAGTAACACTTCTGTAGATACTTTTGCTAAGATGAGATATTTGTATGTGACATTCAAAGGGCTTTTCCTCTCTGCTGAATTTGTGGACAGTTTATAATTTCTAGCATTATTGGCTGTCTTGAATTTCTAGAAATGTCTTGAAGTTAGGAAGAAACACTAATAACAAACAAAAAGCTTGTGAATGAACTTGTCCTTGACTAATTTAGTGCTTGTTTTAGTAGAGATATGTGAAATTATCTATTTTTAGGGAGCTATGTCAGAAAAGGTCTTTTAAATAGGATGATGAAAAATAGTAGCTTAGTTTAGGTGATTGATTTCTATTTATTAAGGTATGCAAGGAAGAATGACTTGGAATATGGGTATACCCACAACTCCACACACACAACTGCGAAGAACGGGGCTGTCGTGTTCTGATTTATGCTTCAGTTTCATGTTCTACGAATCCCAAAAATACATCAATACCAGAATGAGTAAAATTGTGAGGGCAGGAAAAGCTTGCATGCTTAAATGCACATAATCTCACTTGAATCGAGACTGACTGTCATGTAAGTGTTACCCTCAGAAGGAAGCAGCTTTCTCAAAAAGCCTCCCCCCTGTCTCCTGTTTTTTCTTGCTAGATTTCAGCGAGCTATGGGTGGTGTTCCTGCCTGGGCTGATAGAGAAAATAAGAAGAAAACCAAAAGGACTGCAAGTGATAGTAAAGAAATTCATTATATTTATGAAGCTTTGTTTCTAATAATGTTTTTGTCTGCTTGGCAATTCATAAAAAAATTTTGATGTTTCTGGTGATAACAAGCTGGGTAAATCAGCTCGATCCCTTCAGTGTGCTTTTGTTTTTTGTTTCTGTAGGGATTTTGTAGGCCATGATGTGTAAGTTTGTGAAATGAGTCTTTTCTATGTGCTTTGTTTTAATTAGGGGATAGTGATGAAGATGATGATCTGCTATGCAGAACTGGTAATTTTATATCAAGCTCAGAGTCCCTGCCAAAAGGTACTATACAGGTAAAGGCAAGGCAGCTTCTACCGTGTTTCTGGCTCGTATGCACACTCTGCTGGTTGAGCAGTGTTATTTCTGTTGGTGATTATATGGATTTCTTGTTCCTTTTTGCCCTGTAACTTGAAGACGTAAATATTTATTTTGCAGAAACTAGGAAGGATGGCATTTTCTCACAACTCTGAAGCCACTGAAATGGTATTTGGTAGAGTGAGAAATGCCTACTTGATTTGACAGCTTTGAGTTTCATATAGTATCTGGTCTGTGTTCCAGACTCATTGAAACTTGACTAATTTTATATAGACTGCATTAATTTGGAAGTCAGTACAACAGCTAATTAGCTTCCCATGTCTGAACTAAAGCAGCCTCTCTTGACATATTTTTTGTTCTGTTTGTCTGAGTTATCTGAAAGATGAGCCTAATGCGCGAGGTCTGTTCTTTTGAAAGACAAAGAGCAATTAAATTGGTTGACTGCTCATCAGCATAAGCAAATACGGTATTTTTAACTGCTTGACCTGAATTGTAGGTGAAAGTCTGCTTGCCTGCTAATCAGGAACGCCTCTCTGGTGGAAAACTGTCAACAGTGCAGTTCCATCCTTCTGCTCAAGTTATCCTCACTGCTGGACTCGATCGATGTGTGTCGCTCTTTCAGGTGCAAAATTTCAATATATGCAATGAAAATAGCAATTGACTTTTTAAAAATACCTTGGGTGGGGTGGAGTTTTTCTTTCTGTGTTCCTCCTCCCTTCCTGTGATGGCATATCCATGTTATAGGGATTGCATGTGTCCACACAACTTGCTTGGTTGAAATTTTATTCCAACAAAATTCCTTCATCTGTAAATTCATGCTAACTGCTCTTAGAGTGCAAGTCAATTATTTATTTTTAGGTTTTTAGCGAAGGCTTTTTTTATTGAAGTATTTGACTTCAAGGTCTGTAGTGACCAAGACGGAGACTTTTCTCCTTTTTTTTTTTTTTTTTTTAAAAAAAAGGTAGGAGTAGAATGAGGAACAATAATAGTTTTAAATGAAAGCCAAGTGCTCAAAGCATTTTGGCAAGTCTAGAGACTGTGCTGCAGCAGAGCTTTTGGTCCTCGACTTTTCTGTTTCTCTGAAATATAAATCTCTATACAGGGACCTATGAAGTGGTCAAAGGCACAAGTCAAGCTTGACTTACAGGGCTGCAAGAAAGAATA